CCTGGCTCCAGGAGCTGCAGGGGAGCGCGATCCAGATGGCGCTGCCCCCCCCCCCCCCCCCCCCCCCCGCAGACACAGCATCTCATGGTCTGGCGGACGGCCGGCAGGTCCAGATCAAACCAAGGCTTAGAAGCGAAATCAATTGGCAAGGCCGCAAGTTCCCGCCGTGGAACGGAGGCACAGAGGCGGCCTGATCCCGCGAACAGCTCCAGCACCGCCGCGCGAGAGGAACCACCCGGCAACTTGAAAGCGTTGACTTCTTTGAGCAGGTGCCGACGGATCGAGAGAGCCGAAAGCTTCCTCTCGCGGGAGGACGCCAGCTGTAGCGCCCACGCGAGGTCGACGCCAACGCGAGGTCGGCGACAGCGCGAGGACCGCGGCACCGCTCAGGAAGGTTGCTGAAAGCTGCTCGCAGCTGGCGGCCGTTGTCGATGACACTGGTGCCTGCTCGCTGCAGCTCGGCGGCGATCTGCACCTGCTTGGGTCGGCGGCGGAAGCTGTAAGTGGACGCCCACCGCCGCGCTGCAGGAGACGTCGGCCAGGGCCGGCAGGTCCATCAGCCCGAGCGCGCGCGGCGCCGCCTTCATGCTCGCGCCGAGGGGCCCTGGCGGGGAGGTCCAGAGGCGCGCGGACGGCGTCGAAGCCCGCCGCTTGAGGCCCAGGAGCGCCAGGGCCAGGAACGCGTAGGTGTCGAGACCGACGGTGAAGCCCCAGAGGTTCGTCCAGCCCGGGTGCCACAGCTCGTTCAGGTGGAGGAGCGGCGCGGCGACGCCAGAGATCCCGGCGGCCCCCCAGGCAAGGGGAGGCGACCCGCATCGCCGCTAGCAGGTCGCACTCGGACGATCGGAGGTAGCAGGCGACGCTGAGGATCATTGCGATGGTCTGCTCGAATTGCCACCGCGTCAACCTGGCACCCGCTATGGTCGCAACCACGAGCAAGGGGATTGGTATCTGCATGCGCCGCAAGACGCACTTGCCCCGACCCACCAGGCTGATCGAAGCTGTAGACCCTCCGCTGGTAGTCCAGGAGCGCGCCCCTGCCGACCGACATCCACTCGAGGTGGATGATGCCCAGCTGCAGACCCCCCTTCAGCGCCGCGCGCGGGCGGGCAGCCGCCGCAGCAGGCTGCGGCGCCCTGAGGATGCCGGTGCCATCGTCCAGGGCGGCGGCCAGGCGCGGGCGGCCCCTCGGCGTCGGCGGCTTCGGCAGGCGCCCCCCCCCTCGCAGGCAGCTGCGGGGCCGATGGAGGAGGCGATGGCCAAGGCCAGCAGCCGCATCGAGGTCCACGCGCTTGGTGCACGGCAGCCCGCGCGATGGGCCGTCGGACGGGTTGAGATCGCTGGGGGCCCGCCCGGCAGTGACGCGCAGCCTGCAGGCGAGCGAGAGGGAGCAGATCTCCCGGAGGACGCTGCGCTGCTGGGCAGAGACACCGCGGCCTTTGCCGATGGCGAGCGCCAACGATTTGTCGTCGACAAGGCAGAAGATCCGCCAGCCGAAGGCGTCGGACGCGCGGGGCCGGCGCCGGAGCGCGGAGACCAGTGCAAGGCCGTCGGCGCGGTAGATGTCGCAGGCCTCGCGCCACGGGAAAGGTGCGCGACGGCCCGGCCATCGCCGACCAGCAGGTTCGGGTCGACCTCGCCGCAGGACTTGTTCCAGTCCTTGCGACCTCGAACGGCAGCCGGGCAGGGTCGCTGAGCGCGGAGTCAGCGCTTGCCAGCCCAAGCGCGTGTGCTCGCGCGCGCGGGCCGACTCTTCGAGCGCCACCTCTCGGCCGTTCGGCCCACCTCGACGACGGCCTCGGGCGAGCAGCGACGGCGGCAGACTCCGCAGCCCCAGCTAGAGGCGTCGCTGGCCGCGACCTCGGGATGCCACTCCGCGTCTGTAAATCAGACCAGAAGCAGGAGCAGCGAGCGCACGTGCCAGCTGCCAGAGTTCGCGGCAGACCGACGGCCAATGCGGCAGGGCCTGGCGCCTTGCCCTTCGCCGCCTCGCTGAACGGGTAGACGGCGTCGAACATGGCCAGCGAGCGCATCTTGAGCAGCATGGCCCAGGCGAAGTGCCCCGGGATGCTCTCGAGGAGCGCGCCCCTGACCCTCGGGCGCCACAGGGGCCCCTCGATGGCGCAGCGGAACCGCCAGGCGCGGCGGGCCGAGACCCGCACCGAGTGCTCGTGCCCGTCGAGGTCGAGGCCGGCGAAGCTGGCCTGGCGAGCGGCGCTGGCCTGTGCACAACGAAACCGAGAGAGGAGAGCTCGCGCTCGACCTTCTGCGCCACGGCCTGCACCTTAGCGCGCTGGCAGCCAGCCACCAGGTAGATGTCCACGTAGGCAGCCCCTGCGGAGGGAAGCCGTGGCCCAAGCCTGACGCCCAAGCTGTGGACGCGGACATGCTGCTCGGGCGCCATGCGGGCGCGCGTGAGGACGGCCTCCGAGACGCACTGGCAGAGGTGGAGGGCCCGCGACCAGCCCATGGGCAAGATGGTGAGCTCTGGCGGCGCCAGCTGCGGGGGCGGCGGCGGGCGCGGCTGCAGGGGCAACGCCTCTGCCGGCGGCCGCGACCATCGCGGCCAAGGCGCCGGCGGCGACGCCGCCCCCGAGGGGCCCTGCACCTGGGGCCGCGGCGACGATGGCAGCACCGGGCGCGGCGCCGGGGCCACAGAGCACAATCATGGGCCGCCAACAACTGGCCCACAGCGAGGGCGCACGCCTGGGCGACCTGAGCAGCGGTCGGCGCAACAGCGAAGCCGTAGCACCGGGCGCAGGCAGGGCAGACGGCGGCCCCGTGCGGGGCACCCGCAGCCCAGTGCATCCACCAGCTCTTGATGTCGTCGTTGATGGCATCGCACTCCTAAATATGCACGTCGAAACGAAACCCAGCGCGAGGACGCTGATGTGCTCGGGATGCACGGCGGAGGCGCCGACGACGGCGATCCGCTTGTGCGCAAGGCGCGGTGGCGGCACGCCGCATTCAATCCAGATCTCATCGCAGACGCTGAACATGAGAAGCGGCCGCGGCCACCAACCCTGCCAGGACGCCTCTCGGCGAGGTCGAACTGCACGGCGGGTTCCGCGTCCGACAGGGCGGCCGCCGCGGCGCGAGGGCAGGGGCAGATGCGGGCAGCGCCGACGCCAAGCCCCAGGGCCCAGCGGGCCGGCTCCGCGGCCAGCAGCGGCAAGCCGCCGACGCCCGCCTCCCAGGCCAGGGAGGTTTTGCCATTGCCCTCGCACGCAGGGCAAGGCAGGGCAAGCCGGGCAAAGCGGGGGGGACACCCGCGCGCCCTCGCGCGCGCCCGGGGCGGCCGCCGCCTCCTGGACCTCCGCAGCCTCCACGGGCGCGGGGAAGACCGCCCCGAGCAGGAGCGGCGGCGGCGGCTCGGCCGCCGACAAGGGCGGGTGCGCTGCCTAGGGCCACGGGCCAGCAGCCACCAACGCGCCAGGAACAGGATGATTGTGTTGCTCACAAACGGGAGGCCCATGCTGGGAGGTACATCGACCGGCGGAGGGCTCCCCCTCCAGGAAAAAAAACTTGAACCGACGCGGTTGCGGGGCAAACGCGACGGCCTTCGCTGCTCTGGAGATGTTTCGTGCACACACACACAGCCCTCATCATCATCCTCGTCGCCGTCAGCACCATACTAATCGTCGTCGTCATCATTGTCATCCTCATCATCCTCATTATAATCCTCGCCATCACCATCATACTCCGCTCATCACCATCATCATCGTACTCATCATCATAACCGTCATCACCAAATTCATACGAATATGCATCATCATGAACATCACCACCACCATCACCATCAGCAGCATCATTTTCCGTATCGTCATCAACAACATCCATGCCACTATCATACGAACCATCATCATCATCATCATCATCATCATCATCATCATCGTCGTCGTCGTCGTCGTCGTCGTCGTCGTCGTCGTCGTCGTCGTCATCATCGTATTCGTCCACATCACCATCACCAGCAGCATCATCAGCATCATCATGCCATAGTCCTCTCGCTGCGAATGCTGAGGTGGGGGCGTAGAGGATCAGGCGTGGAGGGTGGCGGACGGGGGCGGGCACAAGGGATGAGTGAGGGACCGAGAGTGGGACTCAGGAGGGAGGAGGGGGGAAGGAGGAGCAGGGAGATGGGACCATTTCGAGAGGAGCAGGAAGGATGAGGATGAGGATGAGGATGAGGGTGAGGGCAAGGATGAGGATGAGGATTCCCTCGGAGGCCCTCGAGGCAGAACTGAAACAAAAACCCTGCCTACCCCGATCGACGGGAGGCAGCTGCGGCTTCTTCCCGCGCACGAATGCGGGCCGCCAAGGCCTCCATGCCAGGAGTTGACACGAGGCGCAGTCGGGAGGCCGTCTGTCTACCACTTTGTGTGGCCGCGACCTCCATGACAAAATCAGCAGAGCGACGGCAAGGGTCCGTGACACGATTATCATTGTAAAAGTGCGGGTGAAGCCCCTGCTTGATACGGGATAAGGTCTGGGATCTCGTGCCCAGCTTTCCACAGCACCGCGTCGCCAGCAAAACACACCTCCTCGAAGAGTAGGCCCCACACCTATAGCAAAACACTAAAGGTTCCTGGGCTTCGTTGTCAATCATTGAGCACGCTAGGAGGTGCCCCCGTTCTTCGGCATCCTTAAGATTCCGAAAAGCAGTGGGGACCCCTTTGCACCCTACCATCGATCTGTCCTGGTCCCAGGTGATCGAGAAACACTTGGTGCACCTCCATGCTACTCCCGAGTCGATCTCGCACCAGTCGTGCCAACTCGGATCTCTGACAGCCGCCGTCGTCCGAGGGCCTCTGGCAGAGCGACGGAACTCCATCTTGGGGTAGCAGGAGAGCACTGCATCAAACATTCGAACTAAAACTTTCACACGCTTCACGCACACATCCAGAGCCTCGAGGTCTTCAGTCGGGGCCCCTGGGTGAAGTGTCAGTGCGTGCTTGGCTAGCCTATCAGCATCAGCATTTCCCAGTGCAATGCGACGCTCCAAAATCGGTAAAGCCAAAATGACCTCCTCAGACCTGTGGGCGGGGGTGTAGGAAGCAGGCCCCAGACAGCCCTGAGGGTCGTGTTCTATAGCAAGCCTCCTAAGGCCAGCAAACATCTGCTTTGGGCACAGCTGTTCCCGACGACTCGCATTGTGCAACTTGACGGCACCAGAGCAGTCACTGTGAGGTGTGGCAGGGTGATCTATGACACAGCTGAGCGTGGCTATGCCAAGATGCTCCGCCGACTGCGGGGTCTGGAAAAGGGTGGGCCATACTGTGCCCATCATCCTTGCCTGAATCTTGTATTCGGGGCCAGGTGCTAGGAACACAGCCCCGAACGCAGCACGTTGGAGCTCCTTAAACACCTGCTGAGTTGCTGAGCCGTCAACCACGGGCTCACACCCACGGGTCAGCTCAAGAAAATCTTCAAAACTGATTTCCTGGCCCTCGGAATCCTGAAAGGTCGGGTCGAGGTTCCAGGACGGACCAGGGACCACAGGCTGAGGCAAAATGAGCCTCGTCCAGAACAAAAGCTCCTGGGGGTCGGCAGCTTTCACCTGATCAATCAGCTCCTGACTAACATACTCGAGCCTCTGTTCAGCCACACTCGGACAGAGCCATTGCCGATGGAACAGGGAGTCGGGTTCCCTACACAAAGGACAGCCCCCCCCGTGGTCATACCCGCACGCTCTCATCCGATCTCCCGTCCAACAGGCACCTGAAAAAACAGCCGAAAGCCAATATTTTTGTCTGGCCGTGGTCTTACGTGAACGAAACAACTTGGCGACAGGGTCTGGGCAAACTCTGACCTCGTTGAAATCATCTAAATCGGTGGCCATCTTGCGCTCAAGGGCTCTCTGCACGCCAGCCTCAAGCTGCTTGGCCACTAAAGCTGGGGAGGTGTACATTAAATCAACGACGCGATCGCGGTCATCTCTCCACAGCGCAAAATTATCTGCACGCCACCCGATACGATGGAGGGAGAGGAGCATTCTGTGCACTGGGCCTTTAGACTTACGCCAGACAGTAGGGCCTAACTCAGGAGAGGAACTCGATATTGTACGCCATATCCGAATGTGATCCCGAAAAGAGAAGTGGGAAACCGTGGGCTCCGTGAGGCTCTGCCAGAGGCTGTTCGACCACTGAAGCGCTGGGGCCACCGCCTGACGCCACGCAGGGTCTCCATGAAGCACACACTTCGCTGTCAAGCTTGCTCCCCGATGGGCAGGAGACTTGCCTGACATCAGCACTGAACGTAAAGAGGCCAATTCATGATCAGAAACTCCTAGGACCATGCTGCCGAAACCTGCTGCTGGCCGTACTCCTGCAACATATATCTTGTTAATCCGCGTACGGTCCCTGGGGAGCTTCTTCTTATAGTGCTGGAGTAGTCGGCTACGAATTCGCATATCGTGAAACCGTTGTCGCCGCCGAGCTCTAGCCTTCTTGGCCGATAACCCCTGACCAGGTGCTAGGTCCACGCCCAGCGACACCGTGGAGTTCGTGGCCGAAGAAGGGCATATTGGCTGAAGTCGCCTGCGGAGCTTGGAAGCTATCCTGCTGGACGACGAAAAAGATACCGCTTTGTCTTCAGCTAGCCGAACACCTAAACGCGTCTGAAAAACCCACTTCAAATCTTTCGCAGCCTTGACCAAATCATGCATAATAACACTTTCAGGACCATGGGCCGAAACCGTGTCATCGTCGACGTACGATCCCAGACTGACCCCAGGATTTCGGCTAGCCCAGAGATCAAACTCGAACATCGCGTAAACCTTCACGAAAACATCGTTGAAAATGTCCCCTGCTGGTAAACCGTTTTGCGCAAACTGAATAAGCGGGCAGTGATGAGCTCCCAGACGGAGTACTCTCGGGGACCTCCAGAGGTTGTACAGGACTTTTATGAGAACCGTGGGTATACGCCAGTACATGGCCCGATCCCTCAGCCACAGGAGCCGAAAGGACTCGTAGTACTTCATACCGTCCCAAATGAAACCTGCCGTGTAATCGCCCTTTTCGGAGGTCTCCTCGGCTCTCACACTTTGTTGCCATATCGACACCTCCGCAGACTGCCCCGCACCAAAAGACCAGTAAGGCCGTTGGGCCCGATCCAGGAAAGAATCCGCCTGAGGTCTCCGAAGTCGCTCCCAAACTCGAACAAAAGAACCCAGAAGTAGAATCGGCCTGAGACCTCCTTTGGGCTTCTCCAGTAAAGGCAGCAGCATCCACAGTAGCTGCGCGGGGAAAAGGCCCAGCCGCTCCACGGCCTCGTAGAGCACGGCCAGGCACGTGAGACCCTCGTCGGAGAGGGCGCCAACATGCCGAGGGTGAAATCCATCTAGGCTCTGGGCAGTGTGGCGGCTGAAGCTCAGAGACGCATTCCGAAGTTCAGCAACGCTGGCCCGAGGGAAACATTGACGATCAGGAATCCAGGCTTCGGGTGGCTTCAAGTCCGCTCCCCAAAATCTTCCCAGAGTCTGAGCTTCATCCTCCAGAAGGG